AATATCTAAATGTATACATAAAACCATAGATGATTGACAATTGCTTAGCATATATTACTGCCAATATTATTGTATAAATACAAAACTTTTTAACGACATTTTTGTTGGATCAATGTATCAATGATTTTTTCAGTATTGATTTCTTCGAGCAATTCATGTTCAATTGCAAGCGTAACGACAATAATGATAATTTATTTTGCCCAATAGTTGATCGCTGCCAATTTTTAACGCTCTTTAAAACTAAAAATAGGCTCGATGTTCCAAAAATCGATAAATACATTCTGAAACATAACATTTATTTACATTTAGAAAATTGTCAACATTTTGGTAGGGATTTATTTTCTTCATAAATATTTCATTAACAGACAATCCAGTTTCTTAAAACGTTTTATAAATTAAAAACTCATTATAAAATACAACCTATAGTGAAATATTTGATTTTTAGTGCAATATTTTTTTTGATCAGAATTATATTTAAATTCAAAATCTATTTTAATAAATCCCACACAAATTAACCAAATTTACCAATAATATTATTTTACAATATATCCATTATTCATATATAAAATAAAGACGTCAATTATAAAATGCCTGATTTTCTGGATGCAGATTTTCTATTTTGAGTACCATATGTACATAGCGATTATTTGTCAATTGAGTTTCGTAGATATTTTATTAACAATTCAAGGAATTTGATTTGTGTTATAATTGTGATGTCTTCAGACTTGAAAATATTCCCATCTGGCAGTAATTTGGTGTTAGTATGTTATGGCAGTATATGTTAAGCAGAGTTGACCATCTAGGACAAATCGTTAAAGCTCGCTTTTATTTGGAGTGCTTTGAGAGGTCAAATTAAAAAAATTTATAAGTGCATGTTGTTGAGGTATTTTGGGAGAATTGTATGGTTTTTAATTTTTTTTTAAGTCTTTCATGCCACCCCATTAAAGGACTGTGAACTACAGAGCAAAGCTACAATTGTAAATTTGTTATTTTTAAATCCGTTGTAATTAATAATTGTTTAGTGAAACAATTTGAATCCAAATTGATGATTTAGAATATATATTTGGAATGATTTTATTCTGTGGAGTTTATTCTTTCTATGCGTTTTGAATATAGTTAAGCACAAACATAAAGGGTCTATGTAACATAAATAATATGTTTATTTGAAAACTAATGTATGCATAAATTGAGTATAATTTTTTCGTTAAGATTTTGCACTAAAAATGTTTAAAACAATTAATATTTAAAAGTTGTTTGAAATGAATGGTAAATATGTTTTTTTATACAAAATTATATTATGCCAATCTTACTTTTGAGAATATTGAAACATACTGATTTCAATATTTAGTATAAACTAATTGACGTTAATAGTCTTGACGAATAAATATAAATATTATAATAAATCGGTAGAATTCTTCGGTATTAGACGGAAATATATGATTAATTTCAACCCGTAATATTATAATGTAGGTATAAGGATATAATATAACTTAACATTAAGACTTAACTCCATAAAAAACATGGGAGAAGAACGCCTTACTGGTCTTCCTTTACTCAATATTCACAATAATAGGTATAGCTATAAATGTTTATGACATTATTTCTAGATTCGGAAAAACAAAACAAAGAAGATTAAACTTTGTCATTCAATTTTATAAAACAACAATAATAATTATAATGAAGTTCTAATTTTAGTTAATAATTTACTTTCATTATCTTTTTATCTTTTCAAAAAAAGCCCCCCCCTCCCTCCCCCTCAAATAATTTTAGTTATGGTTCACAGTTTGTTTATTTAAACTTAATTATTATTTTCATATAGCAATTAGTTGTTATGTTGTATTTCAAAAACTATTTATCATCGAAATATGAAACTTTTAAGTCAATTCGTATATTATTATTTTCTATACTCACAATAAATGTTTAAAAATATTTAGACTAATTTTAAGCTTTATATCACAGGCCTTTTTGTACGATTTTCTGGTACACAATATTTAAGTATACCTGTATAATCTGGTAACTTTAATATACTATCCGTTAATTTTGATTGAAATTAATTCAACATACCGACTACCTACTAATTAGCAATTAAAAATAAATTATTTATAGTAATTATTAGTGATATGAAGAAATCAAAAAATTTCTAAGGAAATATAGTCTTATAATACATCTTTAGTCAATAATTTATTATGTGTAATAGTTTATGATTAAAATTTAATTCAACACATAAATCAGAGTAAACTACTCAATGATAATATACACTCGAAACTACTTAACAACATATACCGTCTTTCTCCGTTTTTATTAAATATGAAACTTATTTATTTAAGTGACTGTGTACATTATGTATTGTAATATAATTTAAGGGAAAAATTATTTTTCTCACTAATTTGTTTTTAATTTAAAAAATATATATACATACATAATAAATAGCATTATACTAACAGTGACATTTATATTAATACATAAAAATTCAACATACATAAAAGGCACATAATAAAATATAATTTATACTAAACTAAGGTGGACGGGTGTTATAATTAGTGCATTATTGGTCACAAAAAAGGATAGAAAGGGCAAAATGTGTATTTACTGTAAAAAAAAATAAAGCAGAAGCTGAGTAAACCATATCTACCCTTAGGGAATGATAGCACTAGGTTGCAGGTCATTGCTTAGTCGTAAAGTCTAATAGATCTCTTTTTCGTATAAAACCTCATGGGTCCTTTGAAATCCTTTTTCCCTTCCAACCTGAATGTACCGATATGAACATTTATTTAAGCTAGCCTATTTTTAAATAGAAAAAAAAATGTAATTCTTGAGCCATCCACGTGTTTTCAAAAATTATTCAAAACATAGTTTAAAATAAATAAAGAATAAATAAATATCAGTGTATTAATAGTTTATATACTTAATTTAGTAACAATAGTTATTACCTTATCTTTGTTTTTATATAATACCTATTTTATCCTTATTGTGATGGGTACATAACCAAAAAAAACGTATTTCAATATTTAGATAATATTAAAATGTAATTTAACTAATTTGTTTCATTGATTACCTACCATGTATGAAGTATCAATGATATTAAGTAGTTCAATTCTTAAATCATAATAATTTGATATTAAACCCTAAATAAATAACAACATGATAATATGTATAATTAAGTGTTATGCTAAATAGTCCATATAAATATCATATGAAGGTGTTAATAATTGATAGTTTTTTTTCTATGATTATTTTAAGTTTATGAGATATTATTAATTGATTATTTTTCAAAGTTTCATGTGTATTATAAAAAACTACATCTTAAAGTATCATGGTTGTAGTGGCATACCTACTATATGTTATATAGGTATCTATTCGTGTATGTGAAATATTCAAAATTGTAGCTACTTTCAGTTTTATGAATATAAACAACATTCGGTAATATAATATTTTAAAATAAAAAACATTATTTCTTAAAATTTCTTTAAAAAAAAGTCTATTCCCCATCTTGTTTACACCCCTGCTTCAGTGCGCAGTCAACTATAGATATGTAAACAAGTAGGTAGGTACTGCTTTCACTTAAATTATTCTCATACCCTTCCACAAAATAAAATATAAGTATATAGCATTTTCGTCGTAACATTTTTTAGACATGATTATAATTTGTATCTTTTAAACGTGTATCTAAAAGCGAAGCTACTACTCGACCATACATTTCTTATAGATATGAAAGTTTGTAATTGATTTAAATAGGTACTGATGTTGTTGTCGTTTATATAATAAATAATTATTTTTAGTTAAGATCTATAATTTAAATACATCAGATTATAATTTTCCTTTTTATATATTTATCTTTTTAAATTCAAATTCGAAATTACACAGTTATGAAATAGTCAAGCAGCCTGTAAAGAAATAACATATTATTAGAGAAAAAATTAACTACTTAGCTAAATTTTTTGGTATAATAAAAATAATTGTTTTTATTAATTCTTGTAATGGTAAATTGTATTTAAAAGTGGTATTGTATTTATTAGAACAAACAGAATACTAAATTAAATATAAACGAGGAATTAGAATGGTTATTCTTTTATATACCCAAAGAATAAATTCTTTGAAATCGAACACTTTGATTAATTATACTAATATACATTGTGGTGATATTATAATTTATAATCATTATTCCTGTGTTAGTGATGGTTTTGTAAATGCTATACAGTGTTTGGTCATCATTATAAATACTTAGATACCCTCACAAATATCGATTACAATCGTGACAATCATCAGGTTGTCAAAGCTATTAATAACATGTTGATATCTAATAAAACCCTCTTTTAAATGGAGACACTCTAAATTATGAACAAAACACTCACTTATACTAAACATTTTTATTTAATGTGTAAAATATGATTCTTTTAACAACAAACTCACATTATTTCAGAAAGTATTAACTTTTATGGATAGTATTTTCATTTTTAAAAATTTAATACAATTCCAAAATGTTTTATTGCTCTTATTTTTTTTTCAACCTTGTTAATGTCGATGAACCCACAATGAACTTTTGATATTAAATTTGCTATATTCTTAGTGTAAGAACCTCAAGCAAAATACTATTTTTTAAATGTTGATTAATAAACATCAAATACCTATTGAAAATGATAACAAAAAATAATTTTGATTATATTACATTATAAAAATTGGTAGAATACAAACTAGTAATACATTTGAAAATAGTAAATCAGAACTGATTAAACAATAATTGATACATAAAATGAAATAATTGTACTATATTACTTAATAAAAATTATTGGATAATCAATAATGACCAGTAATGTTATAATAGTCACCACAAACATTTTGAACTGAATTTTTTTTTTTTTTTTTATTAATCGAAAAAGACACAAATACACATATTATTATTAAGTAACATTTTCGATTATCTTTCTCCTTTACAAGGTTGAATACAACAATAATATTTATTGTATTAAATAAACTAATTTATTTTTGATTTTTTTTTTTAGGATTGATGTCATCTCCTTCGTTCAACATAATCTTATTGATCACATGTGTGGTTATAAGGTAACGAGTCCAACTTAAAATGGGAAAATGTTTCCATCCGTTACCATGTAAAAATATAGTGTAAATTATTATAATGCGTTGATAAAGTATAAAATGTCGGTCAAAATAAACCTCTAATATTTAAATGGGTATTTTGCCGAAAATATATGATAAACAGTGAAGCTACATTTCTGCCATAAATAACTGAACAATATGTTTATAACTATCTACATAAAAAAAAAATACATCATTATTAAACTCTTACCGATTTAGCTACAGATTTATATGTATATTTAATGTGCATATTATGAATATTTCAACTTGGAAATAGTTTTGACTATATTTATTAGTTTGGTTACAAAATATTATAAAAATGTAAAAGCAATAGTTTTAACTCTTCGTGCATTCATAAGAATCTAATATTTATGTAATTAACGACGCCATGTTTTTGACAACTATTTTTTAAAAACTGTAAGTATTTTACATAATTTCAGATACCTGTAGGTAGGTACATAATTTTTATGTATCAAATGTTTTATAACTTATATATCTGTTAATATTTAATCTTCTAAAAATATCATTACATGTTATTATTTTTGTTAAAGACAAATACAACATTAAACCAAAAAATACATACCTACCTACGTAGTTCTACTCTTTCTGTATAATGTATATAATATTTAGGGTAGTATTAAATAATTGAATACCGACATTTTATTACATTAAAGTTATTATAATATTATAAAATACTATTAATATTATATTGTGTTAACAATTTATGTTGAATGTTATTCAAGTTTTTAATTTGTATAAGATGTCTCTGTATGTGTCTAAGATGTCTATGATGTCTAAAGTGTTAATTATAACATTTATATTTAGAAAATAAAGTTGTGTTGTAAGTAAAATTTTGAATTATTATTCTGTTTACAGCGTTATTGGTTTTCAAGCTTTTGAGGCCCATGCCCACTTTTAAACTTTTGTGTGTATGTAGGTCAACCTCCTTCCTCATTAAGAGCTTACAATATTATTATTATATTAATCAGTGAGGTAACAAAATGTCCATAGTCATTCGGTTTAAAAAATGTTCAAGTCTCCCAAGGGCGGTGCGTCATCCAGTTTGGAAACTCTTGTTCTACAGAATGCCACTTCATGACAACATAAACTTACTTAAATAATGTATCAATATTAAATATTTTTAGTAAGATAGTATACCTATTTTATAAGAAAATAAAACATTCTCAAAATAATAAAAATGGTTTTGAAAGTCATATTTATGATAAATCTACATAACAAAATATTCATATAATTACTCTACGATATATCATATTTTTATTCAATATTATAAGTTGAGAAATAAGTAAGTAACTTTATTAAAGACTAAAAAAAAATGAGATATCAACACAGCTCTTCACAAATCAATTAGTATAATTGAAAGTAACTAAAAGAAAATATATAAATAAATAAAAAAGATTCTTTCTTCAAGCTGTTTAATGATGTACAATTTCACTCAGCTCAAACTCGTATTGTATCTGCATTCTGCAAATACAGAATGTATATTTAATATACATTTAAAAAAAATTATTTAAAGAAAATCATTATTTATTTAATAATAAACTCAATAAAGTGGAACACATTTAACAGTTAAACATATATTAACAGAATGTTTAAAATACGAAGTCATTAGAAAAGAAAATGACTTACCTAAAAAACTATTCGAAATTCTGAGACCCAGCAAAGAAGCAAACACTCAAGTTTTGAATTTTTCAAAATGTCAAAATTATATAACTTAATTCAATGTAGCAAAATACCAAAAAAATAAAATAAAAAAATGTAATTAAATAACTGTACGTTAATAACCATTGCCGTTGAAGCGTTTTGTTCAATAAAAAAAAAAAAACTCAATAAAAGTCAAAACTAAAAACTAAAAAGTTGTTGATTTAATGTCTAAAATATTAACTTACACTTTTTCAGAATTTCGGTTCCTCGATAACGATAAAACATTTTACAATTTAACATTTATGACATTGTTATATTATGAAAATAAAACCAAGCATAAAAAATCTGGACAGAATCTTGGGAACTTGTCTCACTTCGCTGATCGACTGGTGTAAGGCATAGATGTGATGTGTTATTAATTTAAAAGTCACGAAAACCAGCGCATACGATAAATTATTCAGATTGGAGTTCAGTATAAACGCTTCATGACATTTCTCCGTGGTTTTTCAACAGTTGTTTAAGTTGAAAGACATGATCGACTTTAACGTAGGAATTATTATAATATAATCATGTCATAGTATACTATTACCATTTGTCTGTATTCAGGTAAGTGAGTAAAATTTACCCACAGCAAAATGTTAAATTGTTGATAATTGCAACAATTAAATCAATCTATATAATTGACGTAACGTATTATGCACGGCTGTCGATAGTCATATAACATAATATCCTAAATATATTTTAGTTATTATGACAATATTTTTTAATTGTTTATACATGTGTAGTGATATATACTAATCCGATATTTATCAAATATCATGAATAATAATAATAATACATTTTTTATGATATTTAGTAAATATTAATTTTTTTTTAATTTCCTACGTATCATGACAGTCCTTAATATTTCAGTTACTTAGCTAGCCCAACAATATTCAATTTCCACAATTGATCAATTTCATAATACATTCAAAATGGCATGGATTTAAAAAAATGTTGACATGCAATAAATACAATAACAATAAATAGTTTGAAAATTTTACAAATACAATCAATTTATGAACTACGCATTTTAACTGTATAAAGTTTAGAGTTCGAACAAAATAATTGGTACACAAGAATATTGAAGTATTTAGTAATTTAGGTATTAAAAATAAAATAATAAATAACCATTAGTCTTTGAGTTTAATTAAATATATTGTACAATCTTATGTTTGAAAGGTCCAAAACAAACTTACATTCACCACTAATGTTTAAATCCAATATTGTATATTATTTTAATTGGACATTCCTATTGGTTATTTTGCAATCAACTGTAATTGTCACTATTTAAATTGTTAGTAAGAGTAAGTATCTAAACAGTTATAATACATAATATATTCTAGAATTTAATGATTTTTTGGATCTATTATATTAGGTATTGTAAATATCAAATAACATTTGATAAAATCACCAAATTAATGGTAATCGAACTTAGAAAATTAAATCAAACTTAGAATATCGAAAAATAAATTGACCTGATCCAAAATATCCACAACCTCAAACTCATGCTGACTCTAACCTAACCTTCGTGTTTATATCCTTAAATATTTCCTTAACGCCAAATCAAAATTCACACTCCACGCTAAAATAAATCTTCACTAAACTTTTCTAAAATGTTGATGTGCTGCATCCAAATTCGGACTCCACAAAAAAATCAAACCTAAACAAAATACAAATAAACCAAAACAAAATATTTCGTTTAATAACGAAAACTCATTTCTATAAATCTATTATCTAATCAAACACTATACTTAGATCTGGAAATTAATACAGCACTAGAAACACACTCGTTGATCTATAACCATAAAACACAACCTAGGAATGTTGTCAGTAAGTGGTTTCTCCAATCAAGTTTACATGTTAAACCTAATTATTATGTTACCTCATTGTACAAACATTTTGTAGGTCATTTTATCCAATTAAAAAAAATTAAAATACTTTGAACAATATATTAAAATATACATCATAATAAAAACTAATTATAAAAGTACCTATATATTAACTTAATTCATGTACTTAATTGAGTTAATTGTTAATTAACACATCCCACTGGACCATTTCTATTTACATTTTCATATATAATATTCATAAATTACCGTTTTACACTAAATTCTTCAAACAAAACAACGATAATAATTTACGTTTAGCATATAACAGATAAATAAAAACACATAAACAATGCAAAATTTTAAACCAATATCAAATCAATACTTATAAATTAAGCACATAAGCCATAAGGTATTTTGAACATTATCAGTGTAATTTAAGTTAAGAACCGTTAAAAATTTAAGAGTTCACACCAATAATAGGGACATTTATAATCTGATCTATGGTAGTAAAATAGTCATCGATAAACACGCTATGTTATCCTAATGATACAAAAAAATAAAAAAATAATATTCTATAATGTTATACAACACCACAATAAATATTGTATGCAATAACAAAAATGTTTTTAAAAAATAATGCCTACAATATTTTGCATATTATTAGTTCGATTACATTTTAAATGTGTTTACCATGTTTATGAATTCAATTTTTATAAATTAAACCAAATTTAATTCCCAAATCAACATTAATTTTACAAAAATATAAATGATTTATTTAAACTAAAACATATATATACATTTGAGTAGACTATAACTTATAAGAAATAGAGGCATCATCGATTAAAATTTATTTTAATAAAAACAAGCATGTAGACAATCAAAAGAAAAATCTTACTTTAGAAAAATATACTCTAAATAATTAATTATTTGTACACCAATAATTGTACAGCGATTAAATTGTATAATAACTATTTTTCGAATTCAGTTTAATTTGAGTTACATAATTGGTGCATACAATTTAAATAATCATACATTTAAATTAACTTTCTTTTTAAAAATAGAGTTGCTATTTAACTTTTAAATTTTACATTGCACATATGTAAAATACTAAAATATACGTAGTTTCAAAAAGTTTAAGTCCCATAGGTCATAATTATTATATTCATGAGCATTATTTACTTTACTTTTTAATATATTCTATGCATTATTCACAGAATTGGTATATCCGGCTACAAATATTTAAGAAAATCTTATCATAATACAATTTATAACAAGGTATAACTATTTATTCAATTCGAAAGTGATTTTTCGCCTGTTAATCGTAATCGTTGACCAATTTTTATTTTGAGAAGGCAAAAAAAGAAAAATACTTATTGGTATTTTTTTTTAAATTATTTTTTCGAACAGATAAATTAATTACTTTATTTAAAAGTGTTAATTGTCTTAATCTTCGTCTAGATTCCACATTTATTGAGTAATCATACGCCTAATTATCTCTGGAACTTAAAAGTTGAACTATAGCTTTCCTACTCTAGTATACATTAAGTTCCCGTGGATAAAAATATGAATACGTCAATTTATCATTATATTTCAAAAATTCGAAAATGAGGTCACTTATTAATAGATAAGTAGGTATATGATTAGGTACATTCTGTAGTCAATAGAGTCTAGATTTCATAGAGATCATAGGTACTATATGAATCTTAAGATTTTTGTTGTTCTACTTATGTAATTGTTAACCGTATTTTAAAAATAAAACCATTGCGGAAATCCAATGATTCTAAAACAACATATTATTATATATCAAACTTGGTTTTAGGTTTCCAAACATATGTTTAGAAGACCGCTTAAACCCCCGTCGTGTCCGCCCGTTAGTTAGTTAACACTAGGTACCTGCAATA